GCTTTTCGATCTTTCGCTTTAGCATCGTCATTCTTCATTTTAATTATCTAAGAGAATACAAGAAAAAACATTTATAGAAAAATGTGATAAAAACAATTGGAATTATCATTATTTTGAAAATACTGTCTCCAACAAATCGCACTTTTATATTACCGATTTCATTGGATGCAGCAAAATCTCTGTCAAAAATCAAAGAAAACAATTATTTTTGTGATAAATCATAAATTAATGTGATATAATCACAATTGAAATCTAGTTTATGATATATTAGAATTTGGTTTTTCTCAAAACAAAAATCCAGGGAAGTTTACCTCAACCGATGGACTTCGTTCCAGATTTCTTAAACCATCCAATGCACGTACATCACTTTTTATCGTTAAGCTTTTTTCATATTTCACTTTCGCTTCATCTTTTTTGCCAACTTCTTCCAACCTAAAATACAAAAAAAAGGGAAAAAAGACTAATTCTGATAGCATGACAAAAGATATCACGTACTGCAAATTCTAAACTATCAAGCTAACTACTTAATTTTGGAAATAATTCAGGTTGTTAATCAGTAAATTAATTGTAACGTCGAAGCAACAAATGAAATATAAGCAAACAAATGAATAAAACATTAGCTTGCTACGAATCCAATAATGAACTTCATCGACATCTGGTACAGCATTAAGAATGATACATTAACTTTAGTTCCATTTCCCTATATTATTTTAACACATCCCACACAATTGTATCTAATTTTTTTTTCCTTTTTCTCTGTCATTTATTTCAGTTCCATTTTGCTTACTACCCTTTTCAGAATTTCTTACTCTTTAAAATCCGATTTTCAGATGATATTGAGATTCATGCATAAATTCGAAATCTGAATAAGCGGCAATTATGCATTACTTACATGAAGCTAATTGTAATTATTACCTCTTAGCTTCTTGTAATAGTGTTTCGATCATATAATTTCTTGCATTAGTATGCGATGCATTTATTGCCAAAGCTTCATCTAAATCTGTTTCTGCCAAATTATATTGCCCCATATTGGCATACCTGAATTACATGAAATTAACTTCAATTATCGATTCCATTACGAAAAAAAAAAAAAAAAAAAACTGCCTTTAGAAAATGCCTATCCTTAACCTATTCCTTCCGGAAATGAAATAAAAGCAGAAATATATAGAACAAACAACAACATACGCAGCTGCTCTGCCAACTAAAGCTTCAATATTCTTTCCACAAATGGAAAGTGCTTTGTTGAAATGCTGCACAGCAGCAGCATTTTCGCCTTCTCGAATCCTATCAACGCCTCTTTTAGCAACACTCATAGAAAGATCCTCATTCTGCCTACGACGGATGTAAGGAGCACGATGTTTTGATGAAAAATCCGTATCTGAAATTTACGCTTGAATGTTATGCACTTCCACCATCTGTTTTTGCATATATATCCAAGAATTTCACATAGAGAAAGGATCATAACGACTAAAGTCAATTTCTTTACAAGCTCTTTTCAAGCTTAATTTTCTAAAACTATGCGATTAGAAAAGGTATACATAAGTGCATTTATTTATTTCAAAAGAACCTTTTAATTCATGCAAAAAAGAAATAGCCAAATCAGTCTCCACACCAAAAAGTGCTGCGAGATTAGGATTAGTAGCTGGCAGATAGTCTTTGAGATATTCATCGAAAGTTTTGGTCCCAGTTTTCTCACCATTCCTTTAAATACACATCTTTGTTGAATTCGGAATTTTTTGAGTCTTAATATTTTATTCAGTCCACTTCTGCTTTCAACGTTGAAAGCAAAACAAAAATAATCGCACAGAATCAGCTAATAAATTTTCCAACTCATAGAAAAAATCAATAAAGTGCATTAATGAAAATCGAATCAGTAGGTTTAAAAATAACTTTCAACTACTTAATAACTTCCAGGGAAAATTTCTGTAATATTTCAATATCACCTAAGTACTGCCAGCGATAAACTAGAAGACTAAATTTTTAATGAAATTGTAAAATATGAAATTCAGCTAACCTGAAGTAAGTCGGCAATTCAGCTTCCGTCAAAAGACCCTCAATTGAAAAGAAAAATGAATAAACTGAAGATACATAAATAAGAAAAAAACTAAGTCAACAATAAAATTATAATATTAAATTCATATTTAGATTGTTTTTGAGAACCATTTCAAAACCTGCAAAAAAATACTTACCGCATCTTCATTTATAGCAAAAACTGGAATTTTCGTTTCGTCATCAAAGCCAACTACCAGAACTGCAAAACGATGCGATTAAGATAGTAATAAAACAGTAATAGATTTAAAACGAACCTTTAATCAAGTCGTTTGGTCGGTAATCACGTCCACTTTGTAAGTTTCGCCCGAGTAAAACCTATAAAAGCATTATTGACTACCAATAACAATGGTTTTAAATGAAGAGGAGAGATCAAGAACTAATAGTTCCATTCCAAAGACAATATTAATACCAATCAAAATCAAGCAGTTAGTATGTTAAGACTGCTCTCCAATTGAGTTTGCTCTGGAATAGCTTCAACTGAACGTTAAAATCAGTGCCCCACACTTCATTATTATTCATCCATCAAATCGCAATCAACACGAAAAATAATGTAACAATAAATTCATCTGATCAAGTAAACCATAAGATAGTACGCATTATGTCAATAGCAAATATAGTGCTATATAATTATTAAATGAAAAGTCTGTCACAAAACTCACTTGAAAATCATTAATCCACCTCAAACTTCGTCGAAATGAATGTAGCATACAAATAGGTTCAGCATAGACACCAGCAAGCTCAACACGGCGGATTCGGAAACATAATTCATCACCAATCTAAAATTTAAAAATATATTTTAATAATATTGCTGATAAACCTTTTAGATGACACAATGTAAACAAGTATCGCCAGTTACGTCAGTAGGATTAAAAAAAATATTACTCGGGGACCAATGCATTCAATATATTTCTAACCACTGATATTTAGATTAGCAATGATAAAATTAAACCATTTCAAATCATACCCGTAAATCATTATACAACTTCCTCTTCGCATCCGTGCTACTAATCTCCGTTGCAAAACATTCAAAAACCGGAAAACCATCATATATAGCACTTAACATTGTAGAATCATCATTCAGAAGTTTTTCTACAGCATCTTCAGGTAAAAAATTCCCACATTTCACATCTAAATCATTCTCCCTGGAATGACCACTGAATCCATTTGTTTGTTCATTTGCTCGATCATGATGATAATTAGGACTTGATAAACGATATCGATGTCGCCTACTAGCTGCAGTTGGTGGTGGTGACATCCTGTAGCAATATAATAATAAAGACACTGAAAATTGATCATTTTAATCTTAATTTTGGATTAATCCATCCCAAAATGTTCTCGTAACGTTTTTGGAGAACATGAATAAGACTACGAATCTTCGGCAAAATACGCATTCATCTAAAATTTTTATAAAACCCTTGATCTACTTGCAGTTAGTGACTATAACCCGACTTCTAATTTAATTGATCACATATATTAATAACAAATCTAACATGGTCTGATAAATTAGGAACGAAATAGAGACTTCATAATGTAACAGCGATGACCATAGAGCAATTCCAGAATGTTCACTTATCACGGAGCGATGAACATCACATTTGCATTAAGAATTAATGTTCAAAAAATATTTTTAATTATCCTTTTTACTTCTCACTTCTTTTAGTATTCCAGCTGGTTGCCCAGTGTCTCTTTTTACCTACTTTTTTGTGCATACATTTAAAAAAAAAAAAGTTTGCTTTCTTTCCCACAATTTCCCAATCTTTCTGTTGTAAAAATGAATAAATAAACGCTGAAAGGTACTAAATAAGTAATAAATAGTAAAGTAGGAGAAAGCAATAAAACCTCATAACACAGTGATTGCTTCGTTTATACTAATTTTTTTATTGAAATATATGCTCATATGTACAAATAAATGTTGGAAAAAGAAATCAGTATAAGACAACATTGCAACTAGTCAATAAGTGAATAAGTAAACTTATAAAGCAATTAACTACCCATCGTGAATTAGCAAAAAGGTGAATTTATACAGTACCTAAATTAGGTGATGAAAGGATTCGAGAAATAACACTGGAAAAGAAAACGATATGGAAGAGAAGAAACAATTAGGATCAGAATATAACAAGATATTGTAATGGAAATAATCCGTAAATTTAACTCAGTGCGAGGAAAACAAAAACAACGAATGAGTAACTTATAAATTTGAAAAATTAATGAAAAAGAGACGGAATAAAACCTAAAAGTAATTACACAAACTGTTCATTTAACATAATAGTTTGTCGCAATATGCCTTTATTTAATTAAATGACGAAAATGCATTCAAGTTGATAAATTCATGCAAAAAAATTGATCCAACAAACAAAAACTCCGCCAATTTAACAACAGATATCTTCGTATCGAAAAAGCTACGACTACGGCAAAATGAGAAAAATAATCATTTCTGTTGAAAAAATAAAGGTTTCTAAAACCAGTTGAAAACAGAAAAACGAAAGCACCTGATATTTCGTATATCACATTGAGCTACAAGATAAGAAAAAGAGAAAAAAGTGTCAATCTCAAACACTGATTAAAACAATATCACACTTTTAAATTATGAAAGCATAATCATCAACAATGTATATCAAATTTCCGAGAATTCTATAATCATCCGTGCAGTAAAAGATGAAATCAATAACAAGAAAGACGAGGAAAGAAAGTATAACAATTCACAAGAAAAAAAAAAAAAAAAAAAAAACAAAGAACAAATTAACTGGTGATGCATAATTTTGAAAAATGAGTAGCACGTAACTTTTGCAACATGAAGAGCCAAGTCTGCGCCATGTTTCACTATATGTGATTACAGTATCATTCATACAGTTTAAACAATTTATGAAAAAGCTTTTGCACACGAATAAAATAAACAAAATGCTATTCAAGATACTATTAGAATCATTGAAACTATTTCAAAATTTAAGCTACTTTTCCTGCACATCGTCTTCATATATTTCACGACAACCTTCAACGTGAAATATTGATAAAGCATTGAACAAGAGATAACTGCCGTAGATTGTTTTTTCTTTTGCTGTCCAATTTTTGGCAGGACCATAGTAATCACCTCTTCTGACATTTGTCAAATTTTGGAGACCTGGTTAATTTCATTTTATGATATAAAAATTTGCAAGCAACGAAACCATTTAAATCTTTTAGATTAAGTAATAATATCGTCTATACCAAAACGTTTTTCATTCATTTAAGCAAAAACACTCATTTAAAAGATGTTTGCCGTAATCTGTTGAATTGTTTAACACAAGAAGAATTTCAACTTATTCCTCAATACAAAATATATTTCATGGAAATGTAGAGATTTTTTTTACCTCAAGGACAGTTATGATATTCTTATCGAAAGAAAAAGTTATAAAATATCCAATTACATCAACATAGATAACATAATTCAAGTAAATATTTTACATTAAATGATGTGAGAATGCCCTGAAAATATATATGAACATATTTACCGATAGCATCAATCATTGCTGCCTCTCTTGTAAATGCTTCCGTGGGAACTGTATTCTGGAAAATATGCAACGATACAACACCACGGCCAGTATCCCAAAGATCGACAATCTTTTGCAGTTTTTTACTTTTCTGAAATTAACAGTTCTCTGCAGTTTCTCAAAGATAAAAAAATTTTTGTTGAAGAAAGTATCATTAGATGAAAAAAAAGCAAAATCATTGGATGAAATGATAAATTTTTGTTAAAAAAATTTTAACAAAAAAATTTTTTCTTAAATTTTAAAGACTAGCTTTAAATAATTAGGTGATCTTGCGTGCTTAGTTCAGTGATCCGTAAAATCCAGTATTCTACAATAGCATTTGAACTAACGTTGCTACAATATTTGTTTCAGAACATAAAATATGTATCTGACAATGAAATAATTTCATTCAGTTTTTTGCTCAGAAAACAAAATGTTCTAACAGTAAGAATAAGTTTTGAGAATAATCCAAGATTTCAAAATATTTCTCCTACCGACAGAACACTATCGCCAAAACCTTTGGCCCGGACAGCATCTATCAAATGTTGGAAAGGACGGGAACGTTTTCCTTTGCCAATATAAAATATAGAATCAACAAATTGCTGCATTGTACAATTATTGCTAGGAAGGCTGATGATGGAAGGATCTGAAAAATACATGATTTTACAAGAAATCCGAATGATAATATTTCTATAAAAAAAGTTTATTGAAAAAATTAGTAAAAGGTACTGACTTGTATATAAAAATGTATTGACTTTAACCAATTTTATATATAAATTGAAAAAAATAACATAGCTAGCTAAATATAACAGTCAAGCCAATATAATGTGAAATTGAACACAATATCAAACTTCAACGACCTCTTTTCTTTATGACTCACCAATTAAAATATAACAAAATGAGGTAGGTTTATTGCCTCCTCTCCACTGCTCACTGGAAATCTCAGCAAAAGTGCCTATAAGAATTTGGTCAAGCTTCGAACCTTCAGAAAATGGTTGACCAGCTATCCAACGTTCAAGTGCCCAGCTATACTCTGAAGAAAGTAATTGAATCGATTTTTTAAATCAAAGAATTTTAAGGAAAATCAAAACGATTTTTAAGAAATCAGCTTATAAATATATTATTTACTTAATTTCGGAGCATTGGAAGGTAGATTTGCAATCAAACGTGCCAGTTTTAATTCATACGCAGGACGTGTAGTTTCAAGCAATGGCCCAATACATTCACCCCTAAAAATATATAGTTCTTATCACATTTTTCCCTGAGAAATGATTACGACCTAATTCAACATTAAAATCGATGAAGATAAACTTCAAAAGAAAAACATAAATTTAAAGACCATTCATGAGTTTCATGAATAGTCCTTAAATTCTAGAAGTTCATGTTTTCCAGTTCTCAGCAGCTTTCCAGGCCAGAAACTTTAGCTGGATAAAGAAGCAAGCTTCTTTTCTCGTGTTCTGAACAAATTCAAAGTGATGATATATTCATACTACTGAAATCCGATTCCTTAAAAAGACATCTGAGAAGTATCAGAAAGGAAAGCATACGTGAAATTAAATGTTTAAAACAAAAAGCGTTAATTACTTGCCTTTTGGCTAATTCTTGTCTTAACTGTCCATCAGACAACTGACGCACTACTGCTAAAATTTCCGCCGGAATCTTTATACTTGAAACTAGAATGCAGCGATATATGTTAGCAGGATATTTCGTAAATTGTACCACAAAATAAGTAAAGATTATTTTACAGTAACTTTAAAATCTTCCAAAATTCTATTTTCCAAAAAAAAAAAACCATCTGTTCTAGGAAATAAATTCTAGATTCATTTTGAAAATTTTTGACATAATAATATGGAATCAAATTTAAAAGAAGGAAAAATTAAAAGAAAGAGAAAAAAACTTACTTTTAGAAGGAGATTCTTTGGCCACCCATTCCGTGACCTGAGGCGAGACTGAATCAATTTTTAGTGATGCAATTTCTTCGGATAAAACACAAGATGAAGTATTGTTTGAATTTTGGCTACAAGGTAAATCGTGATTATCTTTAGTATTATATTCAAGAGCTGTAGCGTAAGTCGTATTATCATTGCTTTCAGACTCAGGCAGTTTCTCGGATGACGAAGTCAAATGCTGCGATTTTTCAGTGCGAGCAGATGTCCGTTCAGATGATTTTTTTCCTTCAAAACTAAATTAATATATCATCTTACAGTTTACTTATACTCGTTCATTTTAGTATTTTCAAGAAATCACTTGAATTCCTTACATTTGTACTGCTTAACTGCTAAAAACAAATAATTTCAATCAGGCAGATATTATCAAACGTATCAAAAAGCTTAATAAATTTAAATTTGACAGAAAAGTAGACCGGATTAAAAAACAGCCTGATAATAATTCAAAACAAAACAAAAAAAAAGGGACTGGTGATTACAGAAACATGCAACCATATTACATCATCCTAATTTTTAATGAAATGCTTCTATATTTCCTCACTCTACTTGGAGTTAAACTAGTTCATTTTTTTTCTGAAAACTTATTTCTAAGAGCTGTAATGCAGCAGCTTTAGTAAATGTAATGCCATTTCGTTTCTCATTTTTGATAAGGAAATTAAAACAGAAAAAAAATCGACGTAAGGTCTAATAACGATACATATAGATCCATTATGAAAAAAAGAAAAAAAAAAACGACTATTTTGCAACCTTACTTACGAACAGTTAAGAAATTTCAGGAAAAGTGAAATTATTAAAAATCTAAAAAATTTATGATAAATGTACCACACATCAATACATTTTTTTCTGTTCCAATTATATATTCTTACCTAATGGAGAAAAGAACTTTTTTTTCCCAGTTTTACCAGCGGGAAAACCTGATTGATTCTTCCGAAAAGCCCATCGTAGCCGCTTTTCCTCTTTTGACAAGAAATTCTCCCTTCCATCATAAGAAGGTGACCAAGAATGCGACCTCCTTAGCTGCAAAGGTGTTTTGATAATCTTCTTCGGTGTACACGAAAACAGTCGATTTAGAGCACGTAAAAATGACTGCTGCACAGAACGATTTTTTTCAGGAGTTTCATAGAGGCGCTCGAAAAATTTTTTCACTGATCCTTTTGCCATATCTTTCGCTGTTCTGTAATGCAAAAATAAAACTGCATATTTAGAAATAACTTTTAAACTAAAAATTAAAATGAAAAGCAAAAACCACTACATCCCCGGATTTCAGAAAGGATTCAAAAAAGGTTTTTAACCTGCACTTTTTCCTAACAAAGAACTTTAAAATTGAATTTCTTGTTTATGCTTTTCTCTTCATTTTTGTGTAATTATTTGTCAATTTTAAGCACAGTAACCACGTACAACACATGAAAGTTCCTTAAAATGAAAAGTTTTGTACTAAACAACCGCATAATGCCATTAAAAAATGAGAAAATGCACAGTAGCGGTGAAAAATCACTAGATATGTTGTTCAGTATATAAATTTTCAAATTAGATTTAAAAAAAAAAAAAAACGAAATATATTTCACTGCTTTTAAAAGACTAAGAGAAAGAATGCAAGAAAAGTTATATATTATGATTTTATTTCCCTAAATTAAATGTTAGGAAAACGATGACTGAAAATGAATGAAAACCTGAATCACCTTCCATTATCATCTTTTTCTGAAGGATCAGCACCAAAATACATCAATAACTGACACATAGCCAAATTATCCCATGCTGCAGCTACATGTAAAGCTGTTAGTCCTTCTTCCTCACGTTCACTGACATGTTTTTGACGTGTTTTTAACAAATTTTGTACTGCATCCAAAGCTGTTGGATTATTACTTGCTGCTAGCAAATGAAGTATATTTGTTTTTAGCATCGATGTTTATTATTTCTAAATAATACCTAAAAAACTTGAAGAAATTTTTATTGTCCGATCAATGTGTTCATAAATTGTAGAAAATTGCTAATAAACTATAACACAGTAAAAATGTACATTGTTAAAATTGTTTCCAATCGAAAAATATTTGGCTGCCTAATTAAATGAATATTCGGTAAATTTGTTCAAAATATATTATGCATTGATACAAACCTGATCAAATTTCTGAGAATATTTGATAAACATTTGAGAAAAATCGATGATTAATGAGGATGGGACAAATTTAATTTACAATATTATCAAACATGAATAATCAGTCAATTAAACTAAACCACAGAAAATCCAAAGTATCATCAATTATGCGCAATTTTGTTTTGAAAATGAAAACTTTAAAAGTTTATGGAAACTAGGTGAAAAATTATCGTCCTAAAACGTGACCTGAATGTATGAAATTTCCAAGTAAAACTCCGCTTGGCAAATTAACGAGACCAAGTTATGACAAGTAGCGACGTAAAATTACGTGAAACGCTACGAAAAATCCCTTAAAGTGAGTTCTGGAAGCCCTCTCATGTGTAGCAGCTCTAAAATTCACGCCTATAGTTTGAAATTTCCCTCCTTAATATGTGAGTCGGGCGAGCCAGGTGGACCAAGTGGGTCACGTGAACCGGTGAGTTACGTGAACCAGGTGGGTTACGTGAACCAGGTTTGGTGAGTGAGGTGAGAATGGTGAGTTGGATGAGAAGATATGATTGGAGTGTGTTTTTAATACTACTTTTCTTTCCTTTTTGCTTTCTACTAGCTTACTTAACGATTAATGCTTGTTTCGAATTTTTGCAAGGTGATAAATAATCTAAAATTAAACGTTTCACTTTTATCTTTCTGAAATTATTAAATATTATATATAATATAATCTTTTACAGCTTCTTAGTGACTAAATAAGAAAGTAAAATAGTGAAAAGCAAAAATTGAATTAGTCTTTTTTTGTTCACACTTTCGTTGTATCATAATCAATCATTGTTTATTTGTTTAGAATTTAGCATATTCGTAAATAAAGCCAATTAGATAATTTTTAATTTATGCAATTTGCAAGTGATTAATTTATTAAATTTCTCTTTTTCATTTTTTACATTCAATCTTTTCCTTATCATTCATAAAATTGATAAGAATAATTGAACATTCATTTCATAATGCTTGCCATATCTATGTTATAATCATTTGAACAATTAAATACAATTCTTTTTTTCATTTCTGGTTAAAAAAGAAAGGAATTCGCAAAAGCATATATTATTATTTTATTTTATTTATTTATTTTTTTTTTTTTTTGTTTCATATCGAATTTATTCATTTACAACTAAATTAAAATGAAATGAAAAGAGAAAAGTACTAGAAAAAAGGAAGCTTAGCTGCTGTAATTTTTTTTTTTTGTAATATAATAATTTCTATCTAATGAGACTTACGTATGTGCAGGCGTGTATAACGTATATAATAGGTTACTATTAATGTTTACCTAAATAGATATACACCACTATGCATGCAATAAAATTGATTTTTATACATACATACATGAGGGAGAAATATTGCACTTATTTCATTATATACTATGACATACTGCGTCTCAAACTAACATTACTTCATTTCTTGTTACAATTCAATTAAATTTTATGGTAGTAATATGTTCATCTGTAGTACTCTTTAATTCTTTGATAGATGTTAAATAAGTAAAAGAAGTCATTGCGACTGAATAAGTGAGAACAAAGTGATATGTTAACGATTTTCTTTTGTAATGCAAATGATCAAAGTGAGAAATGTAATCCTGTATAAGTTCATTAACTGTATAATGTGCTAATATCCTAGCGCTAGTGCTATTACATAAGTTTAAAAATTACTTATTTAGGATGATAAATCAAGCATCTATCACTACATGTCAAGATAATTGTTAACGTTTGTTTTTTTTTTATCTTGCGATGTTTTTACATTTTGATAATTGAAAGATTAACTATTAGATTCATGATTTTAATCATTTAGAAGTTTTATTAACTCTGTTGAGTTTAAATTGAGCAGTTGTGGTAATTTGTATTGAAAAATACTTGTCAAAAGGAACGGTACTGTTATCGGAAGTGTGCGTGAATTTTTCGTATTTAGTACTTATTTAACTTTTTATATTTTTGATTACATTATAGCTGTATGATTAAATTACTGGTATCATTGAGCGTAATAGCAGGTTTTCATGGCTTAGATATAACTTTCAGAATCATTATCGAAGATATTTCATAGCTTGGGAATTATCTCTGCTATAATATTATGTCTCTGTTCGTTCGGTAATGAGGATTTTATGGTTAAGGAGCTTAGAAGTTGCTTAAATGAATGATTTACGAATTTTAATCTGGTAGGGAAGAATAGCAAATTATGAACATGTTTCATATTGCTAATTGGTCAAGGGGCATTTCTTGCTCAGAAGAAAATAAAATATTTCTCTAACTAGGAATTGGTTTAACAATGAAAAAAACTTTTACTGATCAGAAATCTAAAAAAATTTTCCTTTTTTTGTTGTTTTTCTAACTGGCACTTAGAAAAAGGGCATGAAATTTCATTATCACTATCCATTTTACTTACCTTTTGTGTTTTCATTTATTGCCGATTATTAGTTGTTTATCTTTTAAACGCGGTATTAGTGTTTTTGCAATTCAAAAAAAAAAAAAAAAAAAAAAAGCTAGCAAAAAACTGGAGATATATAAATAGATAAGAGCAATCTATACAAAAATAATATTTTAACGAATTTATTATCTATAATCAAGAGAAATAGGTGAGTGGTGAGGTAGTGTTAAATGGAAGACTCTTTTTTAATTATTGAGAGGGGAGAAGATATAGAGGGAGGAATATTGTAATTTGTCAAAAAAGAAGTAATTAAAAGTATTGAATAAATTAAAAAAAAAAAAGTGGAAAAAAAGAAACGGTTAATAAAATTTTATTTAGAAAAAATTGTTATAAAAATTTATTTTAAAAAAAAATTTGTTATTTGATTAATGCGTAATTGTAATTCGATATGGTCTGCGTAAGGTTCTTTGCCATTTTCTAAAATAGTGCCTTTAGTATTAATTGCTGACATTTCTTTCTTAGCTAAAGTGCAGTGGAAATTTTTCCAGTCGTGCTATTTCAGAGAGAAGCATATGTTCTGTCCAATGATTCAAAAGTAATAAAATAGCACGTAAAATAAAATAAGCACATAAATATTTTATTAATAAGTAAAATCCATTTTAGATGAAGCGAACTGAAACAATGAAAACTGGAAGTGAAAGATCAAAGTGCTCAAATGATATAATTCGAAGTGCAGAGTTGGATGCAGCAAATGAAATTCGTAAACAGCAAGTTGAAATTAAGCGGGTCGATAAAGCCTTATCATTGCTAAAAGAAATGGAATCGAATAAACAGGTTATAGTTTGATTTATGTGTTGTGAAGTAAGATGTGAAAATTCAAGTTGTGGATTTAAATAATAACATGTAAATTTACTATGCTGTCATTTTCATTAACATTACTGAACTTATCAAATTATTTTGCAAGGGATGTAAAACAAAGTAAGCTAATATCGTAAGCTTGATAACGTCAATGGAAATTAATGGAACAAAAATAAATATTGAGAGATGAATGGTGAACATTGTTTACTACTACTATGTGATTTAAGACTGCGTCGCTGAAACTTGGAAGTCCTGTTAATAAAGGATTTTTTTTTTTTTGATAGGATTTTTGATAACTTTATGCAGGAAGTAGCATGCACTACTGGTAACGTATTATTTCTAGTAGTTCTCGTTCATTTTTCCCTTCAAAGAACAGATTAAGAATTTCTAGGTTAAGATGGAAGAAAAGGTAGTTACGATAGACGTGAAGAGAGACAAGCTATGGTGATAAGAGTAGTGTTACTATTATTATGGTATTAATAAAAATAATCTGGTTAATAATGTGGATTTTAGGATTTTTAGTTAGGAATCTGATTTATTTATGTTTCATATTTTGGAGTTAAATGATGCAGAATTTGGTTTTGAAAGTTGATGTTGATAATTTGTTTCTGTGTGGTTGTTATTAAAAATTATGTCAAGAAATTTTGAGGACCATTGGAAGGGGAGAATGTTAATGGTTGATTATTGTCCGGTAATGTATGATAATATGATATTGAAAATTGTATTGAAAACACGGTGTCTGTAGTAATAATAGTGATCATTTGATATGTCTGAATATGTTGTTGATATTTTTGTTGAAAAATATATATCTTACGGGATTTTTTTTTTTTTATTCCTTCCCAATGACATAAGGAATTTTTTTGTTGTTTAGGATTTATCACTGGATGAATGTCGAGGTTTTCGAGAAGTTTCTGAAGAGTTAGATCAATACATGGCTCTGGTACAACATACAATAAGTTTGATAAGACAAAATCATTCGAATTGTTCAAAGCGCGAATATTTCGTCGATAATTTTGTTGAAAAACCTCGTAATGACTGCAATATTCTTATTGAACTGGCTTGTCGTAATACAGTTACCTCTACTTCAAGTTGGTTAATTGATTTGCCAAAAAGTTTTAGTTTTTCTAATTATAGTTCACATAATAGGTACGTTTTTTGAGACGTGGAAAAATAGTGCTGGTAAATATGTGATGATTACATAGCTTTGTCCAGTTAATAAACAGAATAATTGGCATATTCGATTTGATACTAATATAATTAATGATTGCAAAAAGGCAGCAAATTAATTTTGCGCAAATATTAATTAAATCTTTAAGATCAGGATTATTTCAATATTGTATTAATTTCACATGCAAACACACATACAACAGTTGTTTATATAATTTAAATGAAATTTGATTGAGGAAATTAAGTGTAAGCTTCCTTTTATATTCTTGAAAATACGGCTTATATTTCTAATCTAAACATTTAATTGGGATGATTTTTAGACTTTTATTTCCAAGAAATAAATTTCAGGCCAACATTTGACTAATTCACAAGTAACTCATCTAGCTATTACACCAACGACTACAGTGCATGTTTCACCAGAATTAGGAGATGCTATACCAAAATGCAGTAGCGATAATTCGCTACATATCGGACCGAAGAAAGTACTTGATGGTACTCATCAAAGTGTTCAGAATGAGCGAATACATTCTTCAAGTGAACCTGGTTCATTAATACAGCTGGCTCAACCAAAAATTGAATCAAAAATTGCTGCAAATCAAAAATCGCTTCCATTTTTATCACAGGTATTTTTTTACGATGATGTAATAGTTATCTCTTAATGGTAAGATCGATCAGAATATTAATCCTGCTTTCATAATTCTATAGGCTGGATTTGACTCACATTCGCTGCATGCAGCCATGCAGGGCGTGCTTGGATCATTGAAGCGTACTCTTCCTGGATTTCATTCAGCAGCTTCAACAATTTTAAAGAGTGATGTGGTTGATTTTATTTCTGCATTTTCTGTTGCACTTCGGCGTTACAATGATCGTGTACTCTCACAAATAAAATTACTACTTGAGTAAGAGATTTGTTATTTCTCAAGTTTAGATTAACTGTTTTGTCTAGACCATGATGATTATACACGTAGTCCTGCTTCTGTGTTTATATCCGATTTCGTTCATATCAGTCTATTCAGTTGCCTATCAAGCATTTGTTGATATATTTTGATTTGATATATATGCGAAATTTATTTGGAAATAATTTTGCAGCAAATACGATTCATCAGTTAGCAGCACGGAACGCAACGAACTTGTCTGTGAGATAAATTATTTGCACAAAATAAGCACTTCTACAAGTGCTAAACGTGAGCAGGTTAGTATAGACTACTTGTTATGCTTAATGAAGATTATTCAGGTTACAATGAGTTAAATTATTCGTAATTTATTGGGAAGTGATTTTCTAGAGAATAGCTGATTAATTGATCTATAGAGATATCGGCAGTTACGGGTCACTATTGCCCTTCGTTATCGCTTGTTTGATACAGCTACATATATCCACAAAGAATTACGATTTCACATATTTAATCATTTGTTTTATCCATTTAAAAAATTTTTCAACATTATTTTTTAGTACATTGCTAAGTTTCTTTTCTCATAGCAACTGGGTAGGGTAATTATATTATAATAGTGGGTAATTAATGTGAATCTGTAAATAATTGAAGTTATATTTCGATTAGCATATAAACGATGGAAAATAAGTAAAGTACTGCCTAAGTGATTTGAGTAATTGTTTACGTGGCAAATTTTATCCCGTTATTTGTGTATCATCCAAGGTTAAATTAGCATTAGCACTGATGACATAATTTTCGTCTTTTCGTTTTTAGTCATGAATCTGTTTTTTTTCCTATGTTTTGCTGCTTATAAATACATCATACATCATATTTATATATCATATCATGTTTATTGTTTATTTCATTTGCAGTTGCTGGATATTATCCATGATCCATATTTCCAAGCAGCAAATTGTCCACCATTACGTCAAATGAAAATTCTCCATTCAATTTTTTCATCAAATTCATCGTGATGGTCGCTACAATGGATTATATACATTTCGATCATTCTAGTCAAACTATATTTTATTATTTGATTTCGTCCAAGAAGTTTTCTGCTCTGTATTCCTGTGAATAGCTCTAAATTTAAGTTTAACTCAATACTAATTCCGATTAAATGAACGTATATATCTCTTTCTACAGTATTTTCATCAATCTCAAATTTTACATGAAATTGGGACGTTAAATACCGAGATCATTCATGATACTGCAATGTAATTTGCTATGAATAAATATTGAACATTTCTAAAATTTGTTTACAGTGAAATTACTGGAACAGCACAAGATATTCATCAATGAAAACACGATCCAGCTTTTGTTCGGATCTCATCATCCTTCTTAACCATTGTTTACTACAAGAAAATTTATATTTGTAGAAATAATTGACAATTACGAGAGAAAAAAAAAAACTGTTTAATACAAGCGCAAATGAATGTTGAATGCAAAATATATTACTAGCAAATTCTCAATCTCGTAATCATTTCATTTTTCTATATATTCAAAGAAAAAGAAAGAAATCTCAAATCTATCTCATCATATCAATTTGTTCGTCTACTACATTAAACCTGAGATTTTTTCCGAAAATTAAGCCATTTTCTGCATAATTCTAAAAGGACGAGAGCTGTTTCATTTGCTCACCTGTTAATTTCAATTGTTTATTTTGGTATTTATCATTTTTCAAGCACAAATAATGTTCATATTTCATTTAAATTCATTCTCATTTATACATTCTATTATTTCTTTCTGCTTAAAAATAGTTGTCAATACTACCATTTAGTTCTAAATCAAACATTAAATTGTCGTTAACTGATTTACAAGCGAAGAATAATGATCTGATGTCGTGTTCAACACGAAAATTAATGTAAGCTCTATTTTGATTTTAACTGATGATACTAAACGAACCGCTGAATTTTTTTGTTATAGTTAATAATTTTTAAAAGATTCATACCTGGCAGTTATCAGTTAAAATTGATGATATTATCAATAAGAAATCAGGAGTAATATTTTATTCGTAAAAATTATTATTACTGTTATTGTTATTATTATTGTTATTATTTTATTACTATTAATATTATTATTATTATTATTATTATTATTATTATTATTATTATTATTATTATTATTATTATTATTATTATTATTATTATTATTATTATTATTATTATTATTACTAACATTATCGTTATCATTATTATTAATATCACTATTACTATTATCACTATTATTATTATTTTATTACTATTATTATTGTTATTATTATTATTTTATTATTTTATTACTATTATTATTATCATTATCATTATTATTACTATTATTATTATTATTTTATTACTACTACTATTTATTATTATGTTGTTTATTATTATTATTATTTATTATTACTGTTATTATTTATTTATTATTATCATTAATTATTCTTGTTAAATTATCGATTACGAAGAGCGTTTACAATAGGGAGTATCTCAAACAATCGTTGTACACTATCAAATCTATCCCCTATTCAACTCTTAACTCAAATCTATAAATCTTTATTATAGTACTAGAGTACAAGATAATGATAGTTATAAAACTGTTCAATATTTACTGCAAGATTAAACCCACCTAACTAACACCTTACTGCCAATAGCTTTTTTTTTTTTCCTGTAAATATCGACAATAATTATTTCTCCGACAGATGTTTCATACATTTTTTTTTTTTTTATTTCTATTCTTTTTTTTTTTTCGTGAACGAATTGCTAACAGTGTGTTACAACATTTCCAGATCATCACATTTATCATTCACATTGTTTCCTTCTAGCAAATATCGATCGATCATTATCAGAAAAGAAATTTTTTAGGAAGCATTGGATTAGTATATTATCAATAGATTACTAATTTTTATAATTGATAATTATCACAAATAAAATTCATATAATACTTGGAAAATTTTCATGCAAAAATTTTTTGAAATTTTACAGAAATGTTAAAAAAAAAAAATTTATTGCTTCGTTTGATAATGTTAATCGGAAAATTTGCAAATTTTTGCTCTGATATGCAAATAAGCGGTAATTTGCTTATTTCTAACAATTATATCAAATGATAACAAAGCGATACATAAAATAAAATTGGATATAATTCATTCTTTCAAATTATCAATATTGTCTTAAAATTAAATTTTACATAATTTTAAAAATTAGATTATTCATTTAATTAGGAATAATATTTCTGTAAAATGAGTCCATAAATTTGTTCATAATATTAATATTTTCAAACTATAATGCTCAAATATATTGCATATTTAACAAAACAATTTACTAAACAATTAAAATGAGTTTGTCAATTTTTTCATTCAATGCAATCATTTGACTTAAATAAGTCATCGATATGTCATCAATAAAGAATTTGTTTGAGAATTAAAATGGTGAATTCAATTCTTTAGTTTTGGTTCAAAAATTATTTCTAATATATATTAATTCAACTTAATTTTAAATAATTATTTGCAAAATGAATCATTTTATTACTTTTAATTTCCATTTCTAATTTTTTATATTTATTTTTTGTTAGTTTATTCTTTCTTAATTTTTCAAAAGGAAGTGTAGGCTTTTTGAGTGAAAAATTAATTATTATTAATTACTAATTAGTTGAATTAAATGCAATTTATTAGATAAAACTTATTTAATGATACTATTTGCATGCAATGTTATTTTGAAATTAAACATTTAATTTAAAAAAATTGAAATATTAAAAACAGTTTGTTACTTAATAAATATGAATACTATCAATATATAAATATGCTATCATTTGCTAATAATTTTATTTCAAAAAAATAATTTTTATTTTAATCATTTATAATTTTTATTTTAAAAATAAATGATAAATAAATGTTAATAATTTTATTTTAAAAAAAGGAATTTTTTTCAGTAGAAAAAATTGATTTATTTTTTTTTTTTCTTTCAAACAATCATTTTATTTCAAATTTAATTTTATTTATTAAATTATTACTATTAATTCATTTAAAAATATTTATACATAGAAAAAGTAAAGGAAATGCAACCACTTATTGTTCATTTTTGCTTTTTGCTTCTTTTTTTTTTTGTTTCTCTTTTCTTTTCAATTTTTTCGGCGTACTTTAAGATAAATTTTTATTTTTCGTTTTGATGACATATTAAGAAAGCTTTTTTTAAGAATTAAAAAAAAAAATTTTTTTTTCACATTCTAATTATTATTACCTCCTTGTTAGTTTTTAATTTTTTTTTTCCCTTTTTTTTTTTAAAAAAAAAAATTTGTAATTCTTTCACAATTAATTATTATTAACGTTGCTACTACCACTTTTTTTTTTTTTTTTATAAATATAACTTAGCAGCTAATTATAATTTTGTATCATTTATAAATAATAATTTTGTTTTACATTAAATTCAATAATTTATTTATTTATTCGTTTCCTTTTTCCTTTCTTCTTCATTCCTTTTCTTTTTTTTTTATTTTTTTCTAATATTTTCATTGCCTTTTTTTTATTTACTTTTTATTTTTGCTTATGCATTATTTTATTTAACCCAAAAAATTGTATATTTGCTTTTTTTTTTTTAAAAAAAAATTCCTTATGTTTCATTCATTCTTCTATCGAATGAATATATTTCCGAATGATTCATTTAATATTTTTATGATAACAATAGTATTTTTTTTTTCTTTTTGTCTGCTTCTTTTAGCATTCTAAGCTTTATCAAAAAAAAAAAAAAAAATTGCTTAATTTAATTTGCATATAATTCATATAACAAATAAATCTTTATAAATAATATAGTTGAGAGTTAGACGATAGAGTACGTAAATAATTAAAAATTAATTTATACATGCAATTAGTTAATTATTTTGTTTTCAGAGATTTTTTTTTTCTTTTAAGATTGTAGGCAATTTTGTTCGAAAAAAAAATTATTAATCATCAATAGAAAATGTATCATTATTTACTTTCATCTCATTTTGTAACAATTTTGTTTTGAAATTAATAACTAAAATATTGGTACTATATTAGTATATTGTAGCGATAAATATTTTTAAGTTTTTTTTTTTTTAAAGTTTTAAGCAAAACTTCAAACTGTTGATGATTATAATAATAATAAAAAGAATAATATTTGAATTTCTTTAAAAAGCAAAAAAAAAAAAATACAACCTATCAATTGATTGATCGATCGATCGATCGATCGATTAATACGCCTGTTCACTGATTTGTCTAGTAATTTATATTGATTTTGAATAAAAGATAGTGCTTAGTTATTTATATTACAATATTTTATCAGCAATGAAACATTTCCAAATTTATCACCTTCCTTATCATTTTTTTTTTTCAAACCAACTAATACTATCCCAATAATAGTAATAGTAAACTCATATTCAATTCAAACTAATACGATCAAAATAAATCAAACTAGTATTATTGAGAAAATTTTTCTCAATTTAAAACTAGTACTATCTCAAAAAAAAAAAAATTCCTCAATTCAAATTAGCACTATCCAAATAAATCTCAAACTAGTATTATCTAGAAAATTTCCTCAATTTAAGCTAGTACTATCCAAATAATTGCTTAGCATTGTATTATCTTTTCAATCTTAACTTATCATTTCTTTGACATAAAACTTCTTTTTAAGTTATTTCATTCTTTTAGCCAACAAAATAATATCAAATGATTGTAATCATAACAAAAGATTATTCTCATGATTGCTTTAGAATGAAATGGAATAGCAATACTGATCCCACCTACCCATGAATGAATTAACAAAATGGTTTACCCGATCGGCTCCACCCCATCATTTACTCTCGACAAAAGCGCAATTATTGATAGATGAGAAGACGTACCTTAAAGCTAACCAATCATTTCTAACATACAATCTTTTGGTTTCAAATTATACTTACGATGATTGATTATTGATTCACACGAATGTATTATATTTTTTAGCAAATAGTTATTGAATTATTATTATCAATTCAAAAGCATAAATTAATTTCAAAAAAAAAAAATTAATTAAATTTATTCTATAATTATTTCTTATTTGCAATGATCATTACTTATTGTTATCGAAATGATATTTTTGAATTATCATTGTTATCAATGAATATTTAGTAATAATAATAATAATAATAATAATAATAATAATAATAATAATAATAATAATAATAATAATAATAATAATAATAATAATAATAATAATAATAATAATGATAATAATAATAGATAAATTATCAAATGCATACTAGATTAATTTATTATTAACTAATGACTTATAGAATATAAAATTTGACTAGTTTATTTTCATAATTTTTATTACTCGTATTATTCTTACCACTGTCATTCATTAATAATTGCTTCTAGCATTTCATAAATAAGGTTACTGTTAAATTAATCATTATCATTTATATCATTTAATCAGTTACTCTTTGAACTAAATTTTTTGTATCGTTAGTAAAGTAATTCAACATTATTGTTAATTATTATATGATCAATTGATTGAGCTATTAAATTATTTTTAAATTATTAATTATATTTTACTTATTTTACTTCCTTATTTGTTTTAATTCATTTCATTTTTATGCATTTGAAAAATGAAGTAACATGCAAATTTTATAATATCCTTTTCAAATTTTTTTTTAAATTTGAAAAAAGAAAAAAATTCAATGTTCAAATTTTATTAAAATTATGCAATTATTTGCACTTAAAATTTCATTTCACACAAAAATTTCACACCTATTCGTATATTATTTGTCATTTTTAATATTGTGTTAATAATTCAATCATTGAAAGATAGCAAAATGATGGTTAATTGTTAAATTCTTAATCTCACTTTCTTGGTGTCTTCCGGATGAACAGTTGCTCTTTGCAATGAAACTATTTCTTAATGTTCAAAAATAGTTCTTTCATCCTTTGATCTAATCTTTTTCCTTTTTCTTATTTTAATTTTATTCTTCTTCTTCTTCTTGCTAGCATATAATTTAATAATAATTTTGTTATCCTTTAATTGATTGAATTATTAGAATTTATTAGAAAATGTAAAATATTTTTTTATTCAGCAATTTATTAATTTTTATTAAAAATAAAATTTAATCTATTCTTTCTCTTCTTGCAGTAAACCTTTTTATGAATTCATTTTAATTTCTTTTAATATGTAAAGATTACATTTTTGTTTTTCTATTTAATCTTTTTTTTTTTTTTACAATTACACCTCAATAATTTCTCTTTGAAATTTATATATGTATATTAAATTTGAATAATGATCAACTTTTCAATAATAATTTCTTTATCCTATCACCAATGAAAAAAAAAAAAAACCATATGAATTTGGACTTAACGAATTAAATTTTAAATGTTAAACATAATTTCATCTCATTCAAATTTAAAGTTTTGTTGTGTATGATTTTAAGAAAAAAAAAAAAAACAGATAATAATCATGACGTTCATCATAAAAATTGATCAATTTTTTTTTATTTACAGGTAAAAAAAATTTTGTTTATTCTATTGATTTGAATAATCAATTGCCAATTCGCATACTGTCATATTTCCTAAAGAATTTTTCACTTATTTGTAAAATAATTTGCAAAAATACATAATTAAATGAATTAATTAATTAATTAATTAAAAGATTATCAATTAGTGTAAAAAAAAAAAATTTTTTTTTTCGTGAAATTTCATTATTTTCTTTTTTTTTTTTTTGCTAACATTATTTCTATCATTTATTTATTTATTATTGGTGAAGTGATATTTTTTCAAAATATTTTAAATATTCAACTCTTCTTTCTAACTGAATATTTCCTACTGACAAATATTTTTTGAACAAAACTACTTTTTAATTATTATTATTACTGAAATTTATTACTGATTGATAAAAAAGCATTATTGAATGCAAATTGCAGTATATAATAACTATTCAATGTGGCATTATTCACTTTCAACAACAATTTATTCCTTTCTTATCATTATTATCATTATCATTCTTCATTTTCAAACAATTCATTCACTACGCTGCAAATGTAATGCAAATCGTGGACCATCACCATGCATTGGTGATTTCTGTGATATACATAATCGTGATGGTAAACGTGCTGCATGCGGTGCATTACGTCGTTTACGTCAAACAATTTTTGCATGCGTTTTAATTCGTCAAAGTTCAAATGATACATACTGTCATGTAATTGGCAGTACAACAGCATGTTGGTGTCGACAGATGGATTTTTGTAATGTTGATTTAGAAGCAGAGCTATTTGATGTTGATGAATCAATGGATGATAATTCAAATGAAGTATTATTATCATCAACTAATTTCATTACTGATAATTCTCAACATAAACAACAATTAGAATCAATAAAATTACAATCATATCCTAGAAGAAAAATTCCAATACAATCATTTAATATTACTACTATAACAATGAAAACAATAACAATAACAACAACAACAACAACAACAACAACAACAACAATGATAACTTCATTGGATAAAAAACAATCGATGAAAATGAAGATTAATCCAGCAATTGAAATTGATGTCATCGAAAAGATAAAACTTACACCGGAACGAGAAAATCCACCAACAGTTGTTACGGAAATAATTTCCGATAGCTACGAATATACATTAGATGAAGAGTAAGTTTCCATCTTTTTCTTTTTTCATTTATAAATTTATTTAAAAACTTGGAAATTTTCTGAAAAGTTTTTTTTTTTTCTAAAGGGAAGCTAACATAGGCATAAATAATTTGTTTACAATTTAAATATATATGCAATAATTTGAAAAATAAAATGCTTACTAGATAGGTATACATGTATTTATTAATTATCATTAAGTAAATTTACAAAAATAATTTGATAAGATTTTAGATGAACAATTTTAAGGTTAAATTATTTATGTGGAAGCAAAATTTAAAATATGAATAAATTAATTGATTTAAAAATGAGCAATAACAAAAGCCATTATGATTGGTTAATAAATAAGCAAAGATTTTAAATTATTCCTATTTAAATGAATAATTTGATAAAGAATGTGATAAATAAAAAATAATTGGTAATAAAAATTATTAAATCTTTAGCACAAATTAAACATTTCTTGCATTTTGATCTTACTTATATAATCACTTTTATTTATGCAATTATTTATTTATGTATATAATTAATTCATTATTTATTTTTCATTTTATTTCACCTATGTATTCATTTAATCTATTCGTAAAGTATTGCTAGAATTTTATCCTAAACAAAATACCAATTTTTTGTTTATTTTGATAATTATTTGTTTACCAATACAAAAATATTTATTTCCACTTCAAAAAAAAAAAAACTGAAAAAAACTGAACAAATTCAATTCTCGACTTTGCAATAAAATCATTGAATGTTTAATTGTGAAATTCAATTCTTTGGTTTGTTTATCAAATAGAATTTTTACGAATAATTCAATTTCATCCATTTATATTTATATGTTTGTGCACTAATATTTCCATCATTTAAACATTAAACATAAAATACAATTATGAATGAAAAAATATTTTAAAAAATATTTACGTTAATCAAATTTTTTTTTTAAAAAAAAAAAAAGATTGGAAAATGAGCAAACTATAATTTTATGATTTGAATGATTCTTTGGTGAGTGATATGTTTGGTAGTAATTTATTCAAAATTAAATTAATTAATACGACAAACAATACAGACAGACGGACACACACATACATTCAAGCACATGCACACATACATATTCATGCATACATACACATGCACACATACATATGTATTCAACACACACACACACACATTTTATCGTACTAATTTTATTATATTAATTAATTTAATAAGTTTATCGTATTAATTAATTGAATTTTGAGAAGATTGCTGCAAAACAATTAATCATCCAAATCATACATACATACATACATACACACATATGTACACATAGGACATACACACACATACATACACGACATACACAGACACACACAAACGACATAAATATGAATGTTGAAATGAATATTGTTAATAACTGAACTTATTGGTTAACTATTTATCATAATTAATTAACTGATTAAAAAATATATCATAACGATATTATCTTTGATGCATTTTATGATAAAATGATAACATCGATTGAAAGTATTGTTTTATGATAAAATGATAACATCGATTGAAAGTATTGTTTTATGATAAAATGATAACATCGATTGAAAGTATTGTTTTATGATAAAATGATAACATCGATTGAAAGTATTGTTTTATGATAAAATGATAACATCGATTGAAAGTATTGTTTTATGATAAAATGATAACATCGATTGAAAGTATTGTTTTATGATAAAATGATAACATCGATTGAAAGTATTGTTTTATGATAAAATGATAACATTGCATATTGGATGAAAAACAAAATATCCGTAACTAAATGAAAAAAAATTTTTACTGATCGAATGCTTCTATTTTCGTCCGATTTCTTTCTTAATCACTAATGCATACAGAGTTATAATAATAACAACTTGTAAATATTTGTTTTTATAACAGCTCTATGTCAATAATCACCCAATCAATCAATCAATCAATCGATCGATCGATCAGTCAATCGATCTGTGATTCATAATTAACCAATCATTTATTTATATAGTTCAATTTAAGTAAATTATTTATTTTTTTATTTATATAACAGCAATCATTTAATTCATCAGTTAGTTAATAAATTCAATTATATAGTTTAATTTATCCAAAAACTTGTTTACCTATCCATCTAATTATTTATTCTTCAACAACAAATAGCACTTAGCTTCCTCTTCTAGCTTTTCAATTTAGCAATTATTCCATATGGACTATTAAGTTATTTGATTAGTCTTATTGTTGACATTTCTCAATATTTCCTTTAAAATAATGACTAACCTTTCAGTTACCTTTTCCTCTTTCATTAATTTCTAACTTTTTTCAATATAAATTCTCTTTCACTTCTCTTTTTCATTTCCATTAAATGATTAATTTGACAGGAAAAAAGAAAAAAAAAAAGAGAACGAATGGAAATATATAATAAAAAGAAAGTAAATTTTGTTTAAAAAGAACGAACAAAAAAATTATCTATAAAATAATTTTTATTCATGTTTAAATTAATTTCATATCTTCATTTAGATTTTATTCATCAAATAATTTATAATTTTCTCTATGAGTTCATCAATAGTATTTTGATTTTGTATGATTCATTAAAGTTAATAAAAAATCATAATTAAATTTGTGCGATAAACTTTTAATATGAATACTAAAAATTTCACATCTTTTAAAAATTGAAATTATATCAATAATCTTGAATATTTAAAAGAAGAAATATTTATATACAAAAGTAATTATATCTATCACCAACAAGATGATCAAATAATTTATGGATTTTTTTTTTTTTTTTTGTAAATGAAAGTATTGTGTAAAATTTGTAAATAGTTATTATGCAATGATAAAAATACTTTAATATTTATATGAATACTTAAAGAGGCGCAAAAATTTTCTCTTCCAATATTTAATTGGCGGAAATAGTTGGTGTAGTATTCATTAAAATAATTACTCTTTCTTCTCTATTATAATTATCATTGCTTTATTGCAAAACATTCAAAATAAATTTATTTCATAGTACAATGGAAACTGTTAATTTTGTTGTTAAAGTTTTAACTTTATTTTATTATTTTAATTACAGTACTACAAAATTTATTACTAAAAAAAATATGAATAAATTGATTAATACCAAAAAAAAAAAAAATTATTTTATTAATTTGATATAATTTAATAATAAATATAACAATCCTATTTAAATTATTTTGTCATTTTCCTAATGAATAATTTTAAAAAGTTACATTTAAAATATCATTTTGTAGTTTTGTTAAAAAAAAAAACAAGTTTTAAGCCATTTGATAGCAATTTACAAAAAAAAAAAAAAAAAAATTATTGAAAATTTGCAATAGAGAAACTTTTTATCATTTCCATAAAAATGTAAAAAGCACTTATTATCTTCTTAAATTGTTGAAAAAAAAAAATTTGGTGCAAATGAAATTTTCACTTTTTTTCTTTTTTTTTTCAATATTTTTAAAAGTAAATTTTTTCATTTACACAATTTTTAAATCATTTCAGGAGAAATTGTTAGACAGACTTAAAACTTCATTTAAAAAAAAATTAGAAAAATTTGTTAATATATCTTAATTAATTTAGTAAAATTTTTTAATGATAAAATTTTAAAAAAATTATATAAAAAAATTAATTCAGAAATTTTTGATATAAAATATAAATTTTTGATATAAAATATTTGATATAAAAAAATTAATTCAGAAATTACAAATGTCAGTTATTTACTGTAATTATTTGATTCATTAAAATATGTTTGTGAAAGGTTAATAAACAAATAATTTTAACATTAAAACTTTTTTTGTATTAATATTATTTTAATCAGTGATATTATCAGTTTCAATTTGATTATTTAAACTTATATATTATAAAATATTAGTGCTAAAATTGATAAAATTGCTACTCTTTGAAGAATAATTTGCAGTAAAATTGATTTTATTTTATAAACTATGAAAATTTTGTATTATTTACAAAAACTACGCAAATTGTAAATTTTTTTAGTTTCATTTTAATTTTAGGATTTAAAAGAATTTAAACACAATTCGAATCAAATAGGATTTTGTTTTTTTTTTTTTGGTTTTTTAATTAAAATTACTGAAATAGAAGCAAAGTGTTTGATAAATGAAAATTTACATTTGTGAGTATTTTCTCAATACCTTTAGCTATTATTCAAAAAAAATTTTTTCAACGAAAGTCTAAATAAAACGATTACTTAGATTTGCATTAATTAATTAAAACTTTCCTTTTTTCTAATAATTATATATTAATAATTTGAATTTTACTTCATACAAGCTTATTCTAAATTTTTAAATTCGAATATAATTTAAATTTAATTACTAACAAATATTCTTTATATGCGTTTTTTTTTTCCATTTACACATTTGTGCATCTGTTTTTTAAATTCGATAAAATTCATATTTGCATATTAGAAATGTACGATCACTTCGTCAGCTACCACTTCCCAATTTTATTTTTATTTATTTATTTATTTATTTTTGCATAAAATTAGAGAAATTATTGTGATAAATTGCTTTTTTTTTCAGCAAATAAAATAAATAATCGTTTTTTTTTTTGTTTTTTTTTTTTGAATCGAAAAATGTATTTTTAATCCATGATTTCATTATTTTTTCAAAATTTTAGTGCAAATTAATAATAACTCACTAAAATCTAAATAAAAGTAAAATTTTTAAATATGCATAAAATCTTTTCTGTGATTGGCTCATTAAATATTTCCACTAAAAAATATTTAATTTTTGGATTAGATATTAAATTACACGGATGTATATGCGAACGATAAAGGCTAATCAGTGATGAATATGAATAATAATTATGGAAATGACAAAGGTACAAAGGATTAATATATTTGCACAAAGGTAAAAAGGGGGGGAAAAGAGGGGGGAAAGCGGGGGGGGGGGAATTAAAGGATGCAAATTAAAAAGGTTTAGCTTTACAACAACATTTCCTTTCTATTATCATTTATTTTTGATTTATATTATCGATTTCGTCCTCTTCAATGAAATGAAACATTTT